GCCATTTTCCACATAGTCCAGGGATTTGGTGACTAAGAATGACGCCAGGGGGCTCCTCAGGCCAGTGTCACCTGTCTGGTTCCCACTCTCCTCCAGTTTTAGGAGCTCGTAAAGGTTTTACCATTCTTGATCCTGTCCTTCCTGCAAATCTCATCCTAACTCTTGAGTGACTTTGAAAGATACCCTTTCTCCTTCCTGTAAAGCAGTGGTTCTCAACCTTGGCTGCACATTAGAATCACCTGGGAATCTTTTTAAAATCCTGATTTCTATTTTCCTGGCCCCTTTCTCTGCACCGCTCACATCCACGGCGGTGACCTGAAAAGGGAGTGAGCCGCCCCCCTGTGTGGACACAGTTTCCAGCCCTCCGTACATACGGGTCCTTCCGACTGCACCTGCTCGTACCTGGTTGGCGTCCTCTGACCTGGCCACCAAGGCTGCAGCTTACAGCTCTGCCAGGCCCTGTGCACAACCACTTCGGACTCTGCCCTTTCCTGGCTGCTCATGTCTGTCTGTCTGTTTGTCTCTCCATCTCCAGCGCTGCCTCCCTCCTCACCACTAACACCTCTTCTAACCCGCCCTTCAGCCCCCGACGAGCAGTCCATATGGAACGTCACGGTGCACCCCAACAGTAAATGGGCCAACATCACCTGGAAGCACAATTTCAGGCCCGGAACTGACTTTGTGGTTGAGTACATTGACAGTAAGCATTGCTGTGCGGGTGGTGGCGGCGGCGGCGGCAGCGGCGGCGGGTAGCGTAGATGCCGTTAAAGAGGTCCCGGAACTCCCCAGGCCCGGAGGCCTTTCAGCCTGGCTTAATTGTGACAGTGAAGTTGATATGTGCTCAGATGGCAATGAGGTGGGAGGAGCAGGCTGAGGAGAAAGAAGGGGCTTCTGCACTCATCAGTGGGGTGTAGGGTTGCATGTGCCGGGGGTCTCTGGGGTAAGGGGCCCTCCATCTGCCTCCTGCCCAGGATGAGGGTTCTGAAAGGCCTCCCAGATCTCACCTCTGCATGGATCTCCTTAGCTCCGAATCCATGTTTCCTGGTGTCTCCACGAGACGGGTGGGGCCGGTTCAGACTTGGGGTACAGCTGTGCTTTGCTCAGACGGATGCCAGTGGCCATAGTCAGACACAGACCAGGGTCATTAGTCTCAGGGAGCTGGCGGCCTGAACCGAGGTGTTCCCACTGGGGACCGTGTGTAGATCTGCTAAACTGCAGAGCGATCAGGATGTCTGCCTCCTCTGGGTGAAGGCCCCTGTTTGGGAGGACGGGGGTCAGCCCACCATGTAGGTCTCTATGGCATGTGCTTCAAGCACGTAAGCCAGCGAACCCCTGGGCTGGCCTGAGGGAAAAGCAAGCAACCCTTACTTCTCTGTGGTTGGAGGGGATTCACATCCATAGGATCCAGGATCCCGCGTTCAGTCCATATTTTTTCAGCTTCCTACCACCACATCCACCCTACACCCCGGGTACCCGGGCACTCACTTCTCCTGAATTCTCCACACGGTGAGATGCTCTCTGGCCCTCTGACCCTCTTCAGGACAACAGCACTGGCTGGTACCCTGAGAGATTGAGGAAGGAGGTCAGATATTTAGTGTGTAGACTGTGGTGAGGAAGGAAAGCCCCAGGAGAGGGGACAGGGTTCCCTGCTGAAGGGCCGTCACGTAGGAGTCAGCACTGTGTGGAGGGCTGGCGTCGGAGCTGCCTGGGGACCTCCCGGTCTGCACAATGGCCTGGCCCCGCTGGCCCCTGCCCCTTCCCAGGCTTCTACCTTCGACAGGTGGCAGGAGCCTAGCACTGCCTCTCCAGCTCCTCATGCCGGGCCCCGGGCTGACTGAGGTTTCTGTTCCCCAGGCAACCATACGAAAAAAACTGTCCCTGTTAAGGCCCAGGCCCAGCCTGTACAGCTGACAGACCTCTATCCCGGGATGACATACACATTGAGAGTTTATTCCCGGGACAACGAGGGCATCAGCAGTACCATCATCACCTTTATGACCAATACAGGTGAGCGGGGATCTGGCCCGGCCGTCCCCTGCCAGCATGGGCATTTCATTCTCATCCCCTCCTCTCGGGAAGAAGACCCTCGCCCCCATCCCCCACCTTGCATGGCGCATCTCAGCTCTTACACTTTGCAGCTCCCAGCAAGACAGGAGGAACCAAAAGTGCATGCACAGTGGAGAGGCAGCCGCGCTTCTGATCCTGTGAGGAGTCCAGGAAACAGACTGTGGGACGAGGCGCCCCCTTTGTTTCCCTGTGCTCCGAACAAAAGGGCTGGGTGTGTGTGCACACTGGGTCTCCGCGGTGGGTGTGGGGCTGCTGCAGTGTGCTATACCCTGTCCTGTGGGCACGAACGGGCTTGCTTCCTGCCCGTGGGATTCGGGGACAGGGTCCTCCAGCGACCTTGACCCAGAAATCTCTCCAAGAACCGAACCAAGGGTCAGCATGTGTGTTACCGCCTCGCCACTGTCATCTGTTGTTAAAAATTCCAAAATGTGTGGGTGACCCAGGTTGTTTGGGTTCCTTTGGGTTTCATTTTGGCCCTAAGTTTGTTGTGGCTTAAAAGTGATTGGCTGTTTGTCCTGTTGGGGGCGGGGAAGACGCTTCCCAGGATTAGGATCCTCCTGGCTTCAGCCGGTGATGGAAAGCGGCATCATTGGGCCAAGTGAGCAGGCCAACGGGGCTCAGGAAAGGGCACGAGGCTCAGACCTCTCTGCGAGGCAGGTACCTGGCAGTCTGGAGTCGTGAGGGCACTGGCTTGTCTGTTTGTGTATATCTTTAAAATCAGACAGGCAGGTGGTACGCTAAGCCCTGATGGGGCGGGGGGAGGGAGGAGACAGAGATAAAAGGACCGTCTCTGCCCCCAGGGATGCCCTAATCAGATTCAGGTTAGCAGACACAAGGACAGGGGAAAAATTGCCTCAATGATTTATATGAACTCTACGTTGCCTTAAATATTCATTACTCCTCCTGTGCCTGGCTGGTGAGGCTGTTCCTGGCAGCTTTCGTCTGTGGGTCACTGCCCATCTGTATCAATGTCTGGCTCCACCCTTTCCAGCCCAGAAAAGGGGCCCAGCCGGAGTGGCTCAGTTGATTGAGAGTCATCATGTGCACTAAAAGGTTGCCCATTCGATTCCCAGTCAGGGCACATACCCAGGTTGTGGGTTTGATCCCCGGTTGGGGTACATATGGGAGACAACTGGTTTATGTTTCTCACATCGATGTTTCTCTCTCTCCCTTCCTCTCTCTCTAAAATCAATGAAAAAAAAAAATACTTTTTTTTTTTTTTTTTTTTAAAGAGCCAGGGAGTCTGAGAGTCCGGCTGTCGGCTTGACGCTAGCCAGACCAACTCAGGCAGGATGTCTGGGAGTGGCCAGGCTGTCCTGGAGACAGACCAGGGAACTGGACAGTTGACCGAGTGGAGCAGGCGGCTGGACTCTGTCTGGCCCAGTCGGGGTCCCAAGCTGTTGCCCACCAGCGCATGCATTTATGTGGCTTCATTATGAAACCGAGTCCCGCACAGAGGCAGGAAGCAAAGATGAGACTCAAGGATTGGGTTCCGTCCTAGGGATGCTGCAGACACCTGCGCAGCCTGCTTCAGAGTGAGGCTCTCCGTGCTGGGGGGGAGGGTTGGGAGAGCCAGGGAAAAGGACCAGGCCCTGTTCTCAGGGATGTCCCCGTCTGCTTTGGGGTATTAAACTCATAGGACAGGAAAAAAAGATGATTGATAATCCACTTCTGAGCATTGAGTGGGATGTTCATTTCTCTTTTCCTGCGGTTGGCCGGGAGGGGCTGGTCCCGATAGCTTGCTTTCAGAGCGAGTAAGGAACTCAGCACCTGCACGTTTCCCCAGTGGCTCCCTTTAAGCTGGAGTCAGCAATGCAGGACCCTAGCTCTGAGTAGAGTGCTCAGCCCCCTCCCTGGCGGGCTGGGAGGCACTATGTGGAAATCACATGGAAAGAAAATACTGTCACTTTCTGAAGTTCGTGTGTGCCTGTGAGTGTGCCCAGGCCCTTCGAAAATACAGTGTTTCCTGTGGGTGGACTCCAGAGCCCAGTCCACACAGTCCCCCAGGCGCCGGTGTCTCCTCAAAGCAAGAGTTTGTGAGCATCTCTGGACCTGACCGCTGGTCACTTAGGCAACCGCAGGCCATCACTTTAGTCCACAGATTCACACATGCTCTGGTGGTTCAGGAAGGAGGTGGAGGAAGACCACTGAGGTGTGACAGGCTCCCTGATTTTCACCAGAAGATCCCACATGGGAAGTCAGTCATCTCCTTGGAGCTCTTGAAGTCAAAGACGCCCAAGGGGCTACCGACACACAGCCCTGGACTCTAAGAGACCAGTCAGCTCTTCCATCATGGGAGGCGGGAGAGAGGAGGGGGGGCAGCATGGGGTGAGGCAGCAGCGTGGTGGATGCTGATGGTGAGTCAGCAGGACAGACAGCATCCACCGCCGATGCCAGGGAAGGAGGGACATTAGGGCCCTAACTGTCGTCTGCCTCGCTCTGCGGTGTGTGGGAGAGACAGGACAGGACGAGGTGGGGATGGAGAGGTGTAAGCCGATGCTTCAGTGAAAGCAGCCAAGCCAAGCTGCAGTTGAAGACAGTCCATCCCCGTTATATTTGTTCATCCATCCTTATTTCTGAAATACAATTCCCCTGCCATCCTTGAGCGGCTACCCTCTCTTCCGTGGCCAAACCAAACTCCTCCCAGTTCGTTAGGAGTCATGGGAACGGTCTACCTCGCAGCTGACTTGCTCGTTCTGCATGGGGTTGGAGGGTGTGGTGTGGAAAACACGGTATATGATCGCTGGTCCACAGTAACGGGCACTGGGGCCTGTGTTGGCCAGGTGAAGCCCACCTTACCCCAGAGCCCACTTGGTTTGGGTTTGTTTTTTTCATGGAGATATTGCTGGCATATAACATTGGTTACTTAGTTTTTTTGTTTGTTTTTATTAAGGTATTACATATGTGTCCTTATCCCCACATGCCCCCCCGACCCCACTCCCATTCATGCCCTCACCCCCCTGGTGTCTGTGTCCATTGGTTAGGCCTGTATGCATGCATACAAGTCCTTTGGTTGATCTCTCCCCCATACCCCCACTCTCCCCTACCTTCCCTCTGAGGTTTGAGCATCTGATCGATGCTTCTCTGTCTCTGGATCTGTTTTTGTTCATCGGTTTATATTGTTCATTATAATCCACAAATGAGTGAGATCATGTGATATTTATGTGTCTTTCTCTGACTGGCTTATTTCACTTAGCATAATGCTCTCCAGTTCCATCCAGGCTGTTGCAAATGGTAGGAGTTCCTTCCTTTTTACAAACAGCATAGTATTCCATTGTGTAGATGTACCACAGTTTTCTAATCCACTCATCTGCTGATGGGCACTTAGGCTGTTTCCAAATCTTAGCTATGGTAAATTGTGCTGCTATGAACATAGGGGTGCATATATCCTTTCTGACTGGTGTTTCTAGTTTCTTGTGATTACTTAGTTTTAGGTGTACAACATAATTATCTGTTACATGTATACATTGCATAATGACTACCACAATGTTTAATTAATGTCCATCACCACACATAGTTACAAAACCCACTTAGTTTTGAACAGCCTTCTGTGTCCAAACTTCATGGAAAATTCTTTGACCGTTTTTGTAAGGACTAAAGGTAACATTTGAACTTTGCAAGGTGAAGTCAGGAATGAAAAGCTGCATTTGCTTTCCACATTGCCCCTATGGCAGTGATGGCGAACCTATGACACGTGTGTCAGAGGTGACATGCGAACTCATTTTTTTAAATTTTTCTTTGTTAAACAGCATTTAAATATATAAAATAAATATCATAAATATAAGTCTTTGTTTTACTATGGTTGCAAATATCAAAAAAATTCTATATGTGACACGGCACCAGAGTTAAGTTAGGGTTTTTCAAAATGCTGACACGCCGAGCTCAAAAGGTTCGCCATCACTGCCCTATGGCCACTTTTCCTGGAATTGTGACTTTTTCCCTAGGGAAAGGGGGTCTTGTAGAGATGGCTCTCAGCATGTACCCAAACAAGCGTCAGGACGATGGTGGAGCAAACAGGCCGCTGCAGACATGCAAACCAGCTTCTCTGCAGAAGGTGGGACCTCATCCAAACGCAGGCAGGAGTGAATCCTTCATCCCAGCGCCCAGGCATGGCTCACGGTGCAGCCAATATCCCTGTGGCCCCTAGAGGTATCAGGGCAGAAACTAATGCCGTTCATCATATGATATTAGGGTTAAATTGGTCATTAATCAATAAGTAGTCACTGCCTACTTGTATTGTGATCAGCAGCATGCTAAGTACTAGGGGGCTCAAAGAACCCCCCTGTTCCCAAACTTTTCATAGTATCATTGGAAAGCAGGGCCCAGGAAATACGGCAATTAAATGTTACGTTGCCCGAAGTAAATGGAGTTCAGAGATTGGTGTTAGCTGGAAGAATGGGAGGTTCCGGGAGGAGGGTGGAATGAAGGAGAGCGGGAGGGATGGCAGTGCAGATGCTCTTGGGCAGGGTGGGGAGACCGGAGCACTTGGAAGGCCAGGCCTCATGGGAGTGTCCTAGGAACATACAACACAATGGTCATTGGCTCCTCCGGATCTGACAGGCAGAGGGTGAGGGGACCCTCTGGAATGGATCAGTGAGGGGAATATGAGAGACACTTCGGAAGGAGAAATGATAGCCCTTAGAAAGAGAGAGAATGGTGAAGCCACTGGCAGAAGCAAGGAGCAGGGAGGGGCAGGAGACTCGTTGAGTTTCAAGTAGATGGACCATTTAAGGAGCTGTTAGGAGGAAGTGCTGGGCTTATGGGGTGGAACTGGCTGGAAGGACAATGAGAGATGAAGAGAAGGATTGCCAGCGAAGGTGAGAGTCGAGGATGCAGAGGTAGGTTTGGGAAGAGCCACTCCACGGTGGTAGATGAAGCGACCAGCATAGAGGGACTGGAAGTTGGCTTGTTGGGGGTGGGAAGCGGGGTTGGCAGGAACTGGAGACAAGGGACGATTGAGTTTCCCTATAAAAGGACAGTGCAGGAGCTGAGAGGCTTGGCCGGCTCCTCAAGGGTTTTTATTTTAAGATACAGGAAGCTTCAACTTACTTAGCAGCAGAAGGGAGGAGAGAGCAAAGAAGAGGAAATTGAAACTGTTAGAGTTTTCAGCAATCCTTTCAGGATTGAGCTGCCAAGGAAGTGAGGCATGGGTCCCAGCGCTGAGAGGGGGGTAGCTCCAGAGGAAAGAGAGAAAGCCCTGTCTGACACAGGAGAAGGGACGGTGGTGGAGGCGGAGATTTCACCGGCCTCCAGGATGGAGTAAGTGGGTCAGCACTGACCAGGTTGGGGGTGATGTCAGGGGACCAGTTTGGGAGGAGCAGTGGGAGATGAGTAAAGGGATTGCCAGGCAGCAGTGAAGGCCCCATTGATGCATGACACCGTGAATCTGAGATGGGCCTGGGTCTGCCTCTTCCTCCAGCAGGGTGCATGGCAAGAGCAGAAAAATGCAGAAATGGCCAAGGAGACCCACAGCTGGAATTGGGTTGGTGCTGGAATGGGTGGCAAAAGGAAGGACAGAGGAGTTTGAGGTTAGCAGAGGCCCCATCAGGCCCAGAGAGGGTGGTGTGCTGAACGGAGGGGAGGAAGTGGTGGTGAATCGCGTGCCTCCTGTGTGTACAGCTCTGACCTAGCACTGGGGAGACAGCACTGGACCCGACAGTCCCTTCTGCAAGGAGCTTACCTTCAGGGGGACGGACTAGAGCGGGAAAGAGCACAGACTGGTGTCACTTCTCAATGCTACCACTTACTGGCTCTGTGACCTTGAGTAGATCACTAGCCTCGGGGCCTCAGTCCTCATCTATAATTAGGGATAATAATGCAAACCCACTTTATGGGGTGGTTGTGAGGGTTGTAACAGAGAGTATCTGGGGAAGTGCTTAGAGCTTAGCCCACGGGAAGTGCTTACAAGTGGAAACCGTGAGTGATAGTAATATAGCGGCCCCCACTTACCTGAAGCCAACTGCAATCTGGAAATATTACATTTCCCCAACCATCGGCATCGCCTGCTCCTGACATCCCGCCATCCACATTGTCATGGCTCGATGCACCAGAGTCGCCCAAAGTAGATGACCCTCCTCCTAACCTGTTGTCAGGTGGTCAGTAGAGCCTAATGTTAAGTCATTCCCCTCCGTCTCAAGGAGGCATTTACCATCTCACATCGTCACGGAAAAGGTGAGTGCAGTACAATAAGATACTTTGAGAGAGACCACATTCACATAACTTTTATTATAGTGTGCTGCAATTGTTCTATTTATTAGTTGTTGTCAATGTCTTATGTATAATTTATAAATTAAGCTTTATCACAGGTTATGTATAGATAGGAAAAAACGTAGGGTTTGGTACTATCCACTGTTTCGGGCATCCACTGGGGGTCTTGGAACGTATTTCCCGCTGATAAGAGGGACTTGTGTGTGCCTATCAAATGGTTATAAGTGCTAAGAAGAAGATAAGTTAGAGTTCTCCGTGTGCCTGGGTCAGGCGGAGGGACTTGCTTTAGCTGGAAGATGCAGGAAGGCCTTTCTGAGAAGATGACATTGGCACAGAGAGATCTGAAGACAGAGCAAAGGCCCTGGGCAGGAATGAGAGAGCCCGGTGTGGCTGGAGTAAGGAGTGAGGAGAGCGTGGTAGGAACTAGGACTAGAGAGGAGGCCAGGGCCAGCTCGATGGGATCTGACGGGTCAGGATCAGGAATGGGACTTTCCCCAGTAATGAGACGTATTGGAGGCTAGGCAGGAGGCGATTTGACCCTATGGGGACCTGGGGAAGGCCTCTCTGACACTGTGGGGTCGGGCTGTAGGAACAGGAGTGGAAGCAGGGATGGGAGTTTCCCCCATAGTGTGCATAGGTCGGGGTAATGAGCCATGTTCGACGGAACTCACCTGCTTTTCCCCCGGGCAGCCAGGGCTCGGAGGGCATGGCAGCAGTCGATTGTAGGTCCTCACCATTGATTGAGACCCTGTTGGCACAATGCCCTTGGCACGGTGCTGAGAAGACAGTTCTCAGCCCAAGAGGAGCAAAGGGTGCAGTCGCATCCAGGTACCTGCTGCACAGAATACCACTTGATAGACTTTGGAGCACTCTCCCTGCTCCCTGTGCTCCTCCCCGGGAGGCCCCGAGCCTGGGCTCTGACTCCACGGGCTCTCAGATCCTCCCTCTCCTCTGTATCTTGGTGTCCATGAGACTGCCTCTCAGGAGGTATCGCTTTTGCTCTCCATTCCATAGAGGGGGAATGGCCAGTGGCTCCTACCCAACCCGCACCCCCTCCTGAGCCCTAGCTGCAGCCATGGGGCCCTCAGGACACCATCACATGCCTGAACGCCTATCTTCCAGGCTCACCCACATGGGCCTGCAGTCACAGAGGAGTCTGTCCACTTGGAGACAGTCTCTACGTATTCCAGGCAGGGACAGAGGGAGACTCCCTGTCATAGGGGAAAGTAGGGGTAAGTCACAGCTAGGGGGGTGGAGGGGCGGTCTTCACGTGTGGAAGTGGTTCGGAGTGTGCTCAAAGCATGGCCCCAACCTCGCCGCCAGCCACCTGGGGTACCGATGCAGGACTGTCTTTGCTGTCAGGGAGCACGCAATCCGGTTGGGGAGACGTGAGAAAGCAAGAGTGTCCTGGCACTACACCCTGCCCAGACCGCTGCTCTGGGCCTATGTTCTTATAAGGGGGGGGGGGGGGCATCGTGACCACGCCCTGTTCCCTGATGAGTGGTACCCAGGCTTCGTTTTCTCCCCCGGGCTCATTCATGGGACTCGTATCTCTGTGACGTGTCCAGGCCTATCCCTGGCCTCCCTCAACCCCCGCCGGGCTGTGACCAGCATGTGGTTTGCACAAGTGCCATGCCTCGTCCTTAGGAAACCTCCCTTCCTAAAGGGCCTGCCAGCCTTCTGCTGCTTATTCTGTTCCCTGACCCCCTTCCTTGGCCTCTTTTCCAACCTTTTGACCTTGGCTCCTTAATTATTTTTTCTTTGTCTCTGTATTGCCTAGTGTGGGCCGGAGGGCTGCTAGCTGGTAGCATGAGGCTCTGGGAATAACATCCCTGTGAAGTAGCTGCAGTTCTTTCCTCACCTCTCCCTCCTCACCTTCCCCCATGCGAGGTCCTTCACGTGTTTGCTTCTGGCCTCCCCGCAGCTTACACCAACAACCAGCCCGACATCGTCACCCAGGGCTGGTTCATCGGGCTCATGTGCGCCATCGCCCTCCTGGTGCTGATCCTGCTCATCGTCTGTTTCATCAAGAGGAGCCGTGGTGGCAAGTACCCAGGTAGGAT